CTTAAGCAAAGTGTAGCAAAAGGTTCCTGTCTGTTCCTGTTCACTTATTGTTAGTAAAATGAACCAGATTACTGAGACGATCACCTTTTGTTTGTAATGGCTCTTGGTGCCTCTGTCCCAGTCTTTGAGTAGTTATGCTGATTGGAATAGTACTGTCAGACTGATTGGATTAGCACCTATGCATTTGAATGACACTGTTATGCTGATGAGATCAGGGATGGAGAAATTCCGGTAACGGGCTGATTCCTGTATTGCATTTGCATGCTTTGTTTAGATTGTCTCCACCTCTATGTATCCCTCCCCCTTGAAAGGTATAAACTCTACTGTGCTGAGCTATAGTCAGACTTGGATGACTGCAGCGACGCTCGAGTCCTCAATAAAGAGTGACTTCTGTATGAAACATATCCCAACGTCTCCTGGTCCCTGCTTCGACGAGGAAAAAGTTTCCAACAATAATCAGAACCAAAACAGATGTTTTTAGCAGGTACGAGCTGTAATGGTGCAGCTCTATTCTGGAAAAGGGGGTGGGGAGCAGCAGCTCATTTGCATTTAAAGAAACAGGCCCGAAAAACAGCGTGTTTCTGCTTCCACTCAAAATAGGCATTTTCAAAATGATATAATAAATGATCTGTGGAGTATTTTGAGCTGAACCTTCACAAACACATTCTGGGGACACCAGAGACTTATATTACATATTGTAAAAAGGGGCATAATATGTCTCCTTTAAAGTTTAATGCCCAACAACAATACAGGAAAACCTTAAAACTGTCCTTGCTTTTGTCACTAAATACATTTATTTATAGCACTTCTAAAAGACGCTGAGGGCAGCTCTTTTGGAAAATGGATTTGCAGTTGTTTCTGTAATGGTTACTGATCATTTTGTCCTTTGTTTTATTTTTTCATTTATTTATTTGTAGTTAACTGATTTGTTGTGTCTTTGTTGTTGTCTTTTGCTGCTTTCTTGTCTTGCAATGAGATTTTTATTCCCTGTGATCCAGCCCAGGCCCCCCTCAAGCCCAGGCCTGAGAGCATTAAATGGATAGCTTACACAAAAATAACAATTTTGTCATTAATTACTCACCCTCATGCCATCCAAACCCGTAAGACCTTCGTTCATCTTCAGAACACAAATTAAGATTTTTTTTTTCCTGAGAGTTTTCTGACCCTCCATAGACAGCAACGCAATTACCACGTTCAAGACCCAGAAAGGCAATAAGGACATCATTAAAATAGTCCATGTGACATCAGTGGTTCAACCATAATTATATGAAGCTAGGAGAATACTTCTTGTGTGCAAAGAAAACAAAAATAACAACTTTATTCAGCAATTTCTTCTCTTCCATGTCCGTCTTCACCACGCGTTCACAAGAGTACCACAACGCATGCGTGTGGTTCTGCTGACGCAGGAGCCAGCGTTCTGATGTAGAACCCGGATGCGCTGCGCCTTGTTTACAAGCAGACACACTGTACATAAAACAGTCTTTTTTGTATTTCGACAGATTTCGACAAAGAGGATGACTTGACATTTTTTGCCCAGCCTTATTTATTTGACCCAGAATATACAGACGATGAACTAAGAGAGATGGACGTTCTACGTCAGAATGCTGGCTCCTGTCAAAGCCAGATTGGATTGGTTTGGTTTTGTTGATTCAAAACTGATCCTGTAACCCTGTGTTTGTTCAGCCACCATCATGGTACAAGCCCCTAAAAAAGAGAGCTGTCCTGGCATATCTTGTTAAGTATAAGTGGCTGAGCTGTTAAAACCATATAGAAATGTAAAAGCCAAGGGTTTGTCTAATCCTGCTTCTGAAAGCTACCTTCCAGCAGAGTTTAGCTCTAGTCCCAATTAAACACACCTGAACCAGCTAAATCAAGGACTTCAGGATCACTTGAAACTTTCAGGAGCAGGATTGGATACCCATATACAGTAAGTAGTGGTGAATGACATTGGAAACTCGACTAACAGAAATAGTTGACACGGAAATGCTGAAATAAGCTGTTTATCTATCATTTTTTAGTGGCAGAATTATATGAATATGTTCTGCTAAAACTTTCACCAGAATCTGTTTCCATCAGTGTGTTGGTACAATGTCTTTGTTTGGTCAGTTTGATCAGTTTTTCTGTTTTGTCTCTCATGTATCAGTAACTCAGTTGGTAAAGTGTCAATGTAATGCAGTTTATGTTGTCGTGGATAAAAAGTTTGCGTCATATATAAGCCGTATACATCTATGACACTCTGTATTGCTCCATATTCATCTCTAGCTCCCTTCTACTGTAAGATCTGACCCAGATTACTATGAAGTTTAACTTGCAGGCATGGGTTTAATGAGTAATTATATAAATTCATTTATTTTTCATATATTCATTCATAGCTCTTCTGTGAGTTGGGCAAAGACTGGAAATAAAACTGCATGTGCATTCCAAATAAACTACCTTTGGTTGTGCGTGACTTTATGAACTGGTTAGTGATGCATGACTGCATAAGTGGGTGCCTGGATGCACATGAATCATTATGTGATGTGTTTGTGTGTATATTAAATGTGTTTGTTTTCTATAGGACACCAAAACTGTGTGAAAACATTGGAGTCCAGCTATATTCCCGTTACATAGCAATACTGCTGATGCACTCAACGTACACATATCTGCACATTCAGCAACATACTCAGCTAACCCACTCACCTTCTTTTCGTCATTGCTCTCTATCTCTCTTAGTCCCTATCTCTCTCCCTTTCCTGTGCTTTCTCTTTCTCTCTGTGCTGGAAAAACACTGGAAAAGCACAGCAGTTGACAGCTGTATCCTTTTTAGCCAATCAGAACTCTCTCGTAGTAGCCGGCGCTCAAACTCTGAGCACTCTGTACAATATCTGCCCCACAACAAGCAGCTCGAATGCGCTCGCTTACTCTCTCTCTTCTTCTCTTGCTAGCTTGTTCTCTCTCCTGCCAGAATGCCTGTGTACTACATGTGACAGGCTGCATTACAGACTGCAGATTTACACCGGCACAGCCGGGGCAGCCCGGGGGCCTGCGGCCAGCTGAGCCACTCATACTTACTCAGATCTTCCTCTCAAAGATAGAGAGAGAGATGGTACATGCCCTTTACAGGCCACTGTGATGAAGACGAGAATAAAAGTGCAGTTGTGATGATTTCAGGTCACAGCTTAAGAACTTTCCTTCCTTTTATACTATATGTGTGATGTGTAAATGTGCAAGACAGATCTGAGGGCGAAAGTGTGAAAAGTATTTTAAGATGATAAGAGAATATAACACAGTGTTTCCCAGCTGGTGGGTTGCAGGTCTGTTGTAAAAAAATATATATAAATA